TTTAATCCTCAAATATAGTTGGCTCTGTACAATTAGCTTTACATGCACTCTTTCAGCTGAGACAAGCTAGATTCAGAGGCCTGATTTCTGCAAAATCATTGAACAGAGTATAAAATGAAACAGGGATATTATCCAAACATAAAAAGAGCACAATCACTAGGAGCGAAAAATTAGTAGTTGAAGTCAATCTATTTTGGGTTACATATGCATCAATCAATCACAAAGACCCCATTTGCAGCAGACATGACTACAATATTGATAAAAATATACAACAGGCCACCATCATGTCCAAAAGTAATTAGCATGTTATTACCCATCTAAATGTTCAATCATGTTGAGATCTTGAAACTGTGTACAATAACAGCGTGAATGATCCACTAGATTGACAATGAACTAGACAATACGTCATTCATGATAGATTCATGGTTTCAACATGATTGAACACTGAGATGGATATGCAGCTTTTTGACATACAATATCTTTCAGGAATATTGCAACTGGTCAGGATGTTTATAAGTTTAAGTATGAACAGGAGAAGTATACGGACAACAGAAGGATTGACGGAAAGACAGATCTATAGAGAAATTATTAAGATTATGTCACATGCTTCATATAAGGTCCATCATAATTGTGCTGTCAACTGAAGGGGATTTTTAAGTTAATGTCAGAAACAAACAATAGACATTTTGAAAGAAAAGATCATGCTAATATCACCAAATAATCCAATTCCCAATCTTCTACATCAGGAAAGTAACCAAGAGCCATTCCGAAATTTGAAAAAGGGCAAGTAATCAGGAAAACAAACAGTTAGACAACATCACACAAGAGGCCATCAACATAACAAATCAATCAGACTGCTAACATTCTGCAGAGGTGATTGACGAGCCATGGCCAAGTTTCTCTATTGGTCAAGATTGGCACCATGATTATCAATCAAATCGAATAGGACAAGGCACCTAGTTATGATAGTTCAGTAAAATTATCCCCATTCTCATGTCTGGAAAATTGCCTACATTCTAGAGCTTAATTCACATAGCATAAGACAGGCTAATCTTGTACTGGTGCTGAAGAAAATTGAGGAAAAAATATTCTGCTTCTTTTTTTGATGAATGATTTACACATATATATACAAATCTATTACTTCTAACAGCCTAACAAATTTTGGAGAAATTCTAACAAAATTCTAGTTTGAGGAAGAAATTTGTTAGTGATACCCTCCATGTACAGCACATAACAGCTGTAAATAAACATATTTAATCCTAATTTATTCTTCTAATTATTTTATTTTCTACACTCCCTCTCAATCAAGTTTACGTATATGTTGAGTAAACCTATATTGGATATTATGTCATCAAAGGTTCTCTTGGGAAGAGCTTTACTTAGAATATCTGCGATCTGTTGATTCGTTGGAATGTACATCAAAATTATAGTCCCATCTTCCAATTTCTCTCTAATGAAATGACGATCGATCTCCACATGTTTAGTTCTATCATGATGTACTAGATTTTTTGTCATACTAATTGCTGATTGGTTGTCGCACCATACTTTCACAGGCATATTATTGAGAACTTTTAATTCTTCAAGTATTCTCTTCAACTATACTCTTTCACAAATATCATGAGTAAGCGCTCTAAATTCAGATTCTGCACTGTTACGAGACACAACAGACTGTTTCTTGCTTCTCCAAGTAACCAGGTTACCCCAAACATAGGTACAATATCCTGATATAGATCTCCTGTCGTTTGTAGAACCTGCCCAATCCGCATCCGTGTAAATTTCAACACCTCTTCTGTCTGTTTTTTGAAAGAATAAACCTTGTCTTGGAGTTTTCTTGAGATATCTCAGAATCTGATACACAGCACTCATGTGATCTTCAGTTGGCTGATGCATGAACTGACTTACTGTACTTACTGCAAAATTGATGTCTGGTTTTGTGTGAGCTAAGTAAATAAGTTTCCCAACAAGTTTTTGGTATCTCTCTTTGTCAACCATTTTATCAGTGATTCTGGATTTAAGTTTGATGACTGAGTCCATAGGGGTGTCAGCAAGCTTGCTTCCTAGCATCGTAGTCTCTTTTAGGAGATCCAGAATGTACTTTCGTTGAGAAATTGAAATCCCCTTCTTTTGGTCTACCCACTTACCATATCGAAGAAGTATTTTAGTACCCCAAGATCTTTTATTTCAAATTCTTTGCGCAGGAATTCTTTAAGTTTCTGAATCTCCTCAAAGTGATCTCCTGTAAGAATGATATTATCAACATATACAATCAAAATAGCTTTCTTACCTGATATGCAGTGTTTAACGAACAATGTATAGTCGTATTGACATTATTCGTATCCTTTATGTTTTACAGCTCTTATGAATCTGTCAAACCATGCTCTTGAAGATTGTTTTAGGTCATAGAGTGATTTCTTCAATATATACATTTTCTGAAAATTGTCAATTAATTCGAACCCTGGTGGTATATTCATATACACCTCTTTTTTCAAATCACCATTAAAGAATGTATTCTTTACATCTAATTGACACAGTGGCCAGTTAAGGTTAGATGTAAGTGAGAGGAGTACCCGAATAGTATTGTGCTTGGCAACTGGTGCAAACGTCTCCTGATAGTCTACGCCATATAATTGTGTATAGTCTTTGGCTACCAGGCGGGTCTTAAACCGGTTCACACTCCCATCTGAATTATATTTGATTGTAAAGACTCATTTGCATCCCATTTGACGCTTTCCTGGAGGAAGATCAGTTAGTTTCCATGTCTCATTCTTTTCAAGTGCCTTGATCTCATTTAGGACAGCTAACTTCCATTCTGGAATTTCCAAGACTTCATGTATTGTTCTGGGTTCAAGTGAGATGTTGTCTATCCTGCACATAAAAGCATGATGTTCCGAGGATAATTTGTCCAATGAAACATAGTCCTGTATAGGATGTTTCGTGCATGTTCGAGTACCCTTCCTCAAAGCAATAGGAATATCAAAATCAACGGAATTAAGAGTTGGTACAGAGATTATGTTACCTGGATCAGTTGTGGATTCATGACAGTGCTTGAATGATTCAGGTGTTTTTCCTTTGTTTCTTCTTGTATAGACACGTAACTCACTCGTTGCAGGTAATATGCTTTGTGTAACTAGTTTTGGTTTTGATTTCTCTTGTGAGGTTTCAGGTTCAGTCTCCAGAGAAGGTTTGTCCGGTGATGGATTTTGTGGGTAGAGAGGAGGTACACTTATATCCCACAACTGATATTTCTGAGTGAATGTCTCCCCCTGAATGTCAGTAGTGGGATAAAACGGTTGATTCTCAAAAAATGTGATGTTCATAGTATTATAAAACCGACGGATTTTCGGAACTAAATATTTTTATCCTTTTTGATTTACTGAGTACCCAACAAAAATACACTTTATTGCTCTTGGGTCTAATTTCTCACGAAAATGTTTATGAATGTGGACATATGCTAACCAACTAAAAACTTTAAGTGGCAAAGTGTTTAAGATGTGTGAATCAGGAAAGATTTTTGAGAGGATAGTGTACAGTGATTGAAACTGTAGGATAAGAGAGGGCATCCGATTTTGGTACATGAGTGGTGAACATGAGAGATCTGGCAACCTCAAGGATATGTCTGTTTTTACTTTCGGCTATACCATTTTGCTGTGGAGTATGAACACAGGAATTTTGATGAATAATGCCATGTTCAGTAAAGTATTTTTCAAGAGTATTTTCAAAATATTCACAAGCATTGTCGGATTTCAATATTTGGATGGTAGCATGAAATTGAGTTCGAATCATTGTATGGAATTTTTTAAATAGGGATCCCACTTCAGATTTTTCCTTCATGAGAAATATCCAAATAATTCTTGTATAGTCATCGATACAAACCACCTAGTTTCGGAAACGTTGGAAACCCTAAAAGGGCCCCAAACATCACTGTAAATTAATGCAAATGGTTTAAACGGTTTATATGGTAGGCTAGGGAATGAACTTCGAGTATGTTTAGAAAACTGGCAAATTTCACACTGTAATGAAACTGAATCTTTTCCTTTAAATAGTAGTGGTAACATCTTTTCAAGTACATGAAGTTTGAATGTCACAACGTAATATTATGGTCATTATTTTCGGAAATAGAAACAGAGTTTTCACATACTGCATTGTGAGCTTGTCTTTTAAAAGTGTTGACTTGAAGCAAATATAATCCTAAGCTCATCCTAGCACTACCAATCGTCCTCCCCGAGTCCAAATCCTGAAAATTACACATATTATAAACAAATTTCGCAGCACATTTCAAATCTTCACATAATTTGCTGACAGACAACAAATTACAATCCAAATTTGGACATGCAGAACTGAACAGAGAGTCAAATTTGGAAACAAATTTACAGAGCCTATTCCTGTCATTTTTGAGAGAGAACCATCTGCAATTCTAATTGAAATATTTTCTTCACATCTTCTGTAATTTTGGAACATTAAGAAATCGCCACTCATATGATCAGATGCTCCAGAGTCTAGCATCCACACCTGTCCTTTTTCTGAAAAAAAAAAGATAAGTCATGAATATGACCTTTGTGTGCCACAGAGGCACTGACTGGGAGAGATTTCTTGGACAAAATACGTTGGAGGACTTCCAACTGCTCAGGGGTAAATGGGTCTTTTCCCATCTCATCAAAAATTACTTCCTCAGCCATCACGTGGTTTCCTTGAAGCTTGCTGAAGGTCTCTGCTTTCGACGTTTTCCACTCACCCGAAGGTGGTTTCTGATCACTTGGCTAACCGTGAAGCTTTCAGCAACGTTCCCGAGTGTGCCCTAGCTTCCAACAGTGGTCACACCAGGGCCTTGTCTTCTTCGTTCGACTGTCAATCGCTCGGGTTGTGAGAGCTGAAGAATTTTCAATCAGGTGCGGTTAGTCATTCTCTCCCATCATGATCTTCCGACGACTCTCCTCGCATCGAACCTCAGAAAACACTTCTTGAAGACTCGGCAAAGGTTTGGTGCTCAGAACACGTCTCCGAATTGCGTCGAGATTTTTGTTTAACCCTAGCAGGAACTTGAAGACCCGCTTTTCTTCTACGAAAGCTCTGAAGTTTTTCACGTTCTTGGGGCAGTTCCAGCGACACTCCTCGAAGGCGTCCATCTGTTGCCAACTTCGACTAAGGATACTGTAATACTGGGTGACACTGAGTTCTCCTTGCCGAAGGCCATGAAGAGTTGACTCAATTTCGAATATTGCAAAGGTATTTTGCTTGCTAGAGTAGAGTTCCTGTGCTACCTTCCAGATTTAGTGAGCAGTTTCGTAGAGAAGGAAATTCTCTCCGATTTTAGGGGTCATTAAAGTGATAAGCCAGGACATGACCATACTGTCTTCGATCTCCTAGGTTTGTGCATTTGCGTCGGACGCTGGAGGAGGCACAAGCTCGCCAGTAAGGTACCCATAATGCCCCCTTTCGCAAATGAAGAGACGGACATACGACAACCATTGAAGGAAGTTGCTGCCATCGAGTTTATGTCCTATGATACAAGATGACGGTAGCTCACTCACAACTCTGTTTATTGCTGTGTGGTGATAAGAACCAAAGGAAATTTCTGGTGGAGAGGATGGAAGCTCACCTGAGGCCATTTCTGATTACAGCTCAGCAGGGTTTGATTTCTTCTTGAATCAGGTATGCTCTAATACCATGAAGAAAATTGAGAGGAAAAAATATTCTGCTTCTTTTTCTTGATGAATGATTTACACATATATACAAATCTACTACTTTTAACAGCCTAACAAATTCTGGAGAAATCCTAACAAAATTATGATTTGAGGAAGAAATTTGTTGATGATACCCTCCATGTACATAACAGCTGTAAATAAACATATTTAATCCTAATTTATTCTTCTAATTATTTTATTTTCTACAGGTGCACTCTGACAGCAACGTATAGTGGCACTTAAGCAAGCATTGACAAAACATATTCATCTAAAAGAAAAATAACTTAACAAAATATACAATAATACTATGTATGAAATTCCTTATGGATCCTCCATCTTTTTCATCCTTTTGGCACTATTAGCAAACAAAGATTATTTATGGTAATCCAAAAAGGCCCCAGGAAACAGACCGTAGATCATTTTGCTAGTCCATGTATCTCATTTAATAAACAAACTCCAGGAAACCACTAAATTAAGCATCTCTAAAGTAATTTTATTGCTTTCCCCGGGAAAGCTTCTGTAAATAAAATAAATATTCAGATTTTAATTTCCTCCAAGGGAAATGCTAAAAAAAAGATGATGCATATCTTTTGTTTATTTTCGTCTAAGAGAAATTGGATTCAGTTATCTTATTGCAGTCAGGGCAGCTTGTAAACTCAGTCAATTAAATGGAAAAATTACACCAGTATTCAGTATTAACATTCAGTCAATCAGCAAGAACTGAAAGAAAAAATTGTTAAGGAATACAATTATATCAAATTAGAAAGTATCTTACCACTGTTTTTTTAGATAAACAAAGTATCTTGCCACTTGATTTCGCTAATAAGAGAATAACATCTTAATGGAATATTTAGCTCAAAAGTTTCTTGGTTATTTAACCCAAGAATATTCGATGCAGCCTGAGGAACGGAATGGAAAAAGGATAAGGGAGCAGGTAACTAACTTCTACTGGCTGGACAACTTATACAGAATATATTCAGACAATGAAAGAGGAGAGATTGCTCAAAAGTTTTTTCTTTTAAAACATCACAGACTGAATAGCAAATGAGGAAGCAAACACAACAACATGTGGATCATGAACTCCAAACTTTAATGACCATGTAGCAGCACGGGTGCTGATCAAGCACATTGCATCTTTTTCTTTAAAGGAACAAACAAAGAAATCAAAATACAAGAATTTAACATGAAATCCTTTTGAAAATGAAGGTAGGTCCCAAAAAAGTAAGTTAAAAACGAGCAATCATGCTTCCAGCCTCATATGGATGTCATAGAGATCTTTGTGGAAAATCACAGCAAGCGGAACTTTTCAGATGCATTAGTAATGGTAAACTACTTACATATTAGGGAGAACGGCTTAAAAGTCAAAGAGAACTTTTCCTTCACAAACAGTAAAAGTAGTTTTAACTATAAAACAATGTAATTTAAGAACAAATGAAAACTATTCTCTTTACCGTTGCCTATGAACTAACCAAAGAAACGTAAAATGATAAACATGTTTGTGAAGTAAGAATAACTTGGAAAGGAAAGAACTAACCAGCATATAAATAAAGATGGTAAGAACCACATTTCATTATTTTTCAGTCTGAGAAACCACTAAGGGGACATCATCCAGTAGAAGATTTACCATCAACCACATCAAGAGAGGTAGTTCAATTATAGCATAAAGATAGTTCCCCAAAAAGTTCTATACCTCTAATTATGATCATCAACTATACATGAGAAAGTAAATCAAAGTCCCTAGTAATTTCAGCATATTGTATAAGTTACCTGGAAGATTCAGTTATAATAGATAATAGCAACCCTATTTTGAATGTTGCAGTGCTATCTTTTAAATATGCAAAACAGAAATCTATTCTCTTAAATATGTAAATTAGAAACTAAGTAATAACAACAGAATGTCAAAGGACTCAAAACAACTAGATGCCAGCAATTAACGACCGTTAGAAAAGGTGGAGGACATCACCTTGTACAGTAACATTTAATTGATTTATATGGAAGTTAATCTTTAAGGAAGCAAATGCTGTTCTACAGAATGCGTTAATCATTAAGGAAAATATAAAAAAATTTAAAGACATGTATATGCTAAAGAGAGGCTAGAGAGTTTTGAGTGCTATTTACCGTAAGAACTGAAGTTTTCCTGTCTAATCAACGGCAACAGGCATTTTCCCCTTCTTCTGCTCTATTATGTACTCTCGAACTCGTTCCGTTTTTCTTCTCATCCCTTCAATCATCTCCTCCGTGGAATCAATTATCTGCTTTGGCAAATTAACCTCCATGTAATCAAACCACTCTCCCAGTGTCATCTTCTCCAAATCCACCCCCACCCTCCCATCAACATTTTCAGCAGAACGACTCCCCTTATCCACTTTATCACTATTCTCCAGAACATTACAATTGTCTTCGTTCTCCAACTTATCACTAGTCTCCTTAGCCTCACAATTAGGACTGTCCTCTACCTTACCAGTATCGTAAACCTCAAATTCACCTCCATCCCGGAGCTTATGGCCGCTCCCACTCGCAGTCCCTTTACAGTCCCCTCCTAACCTCAAATCATCCATCTTCTCCTTAACTTCCTCGTCAATTTGAGCTTCTTCGCCCAAATGGCCCTCTTTTGTATCCACGGCATCAGTTCGAGTACTCTCAGGTGGCTCTTCCTGTAAATTCTTCCTCTTGCTCCCACGTCCAGGCCTGTTCTTAGGGTGAATTCCCGATTTTCCACAATCCAAACTCAAACCTTCACCAAGCTCAATCTTCCTGCTGCGCGTAAGTCTTGAATTAATTCTCTTCTCAACTTGGTCATCCAGATTTCCCACTTTGTCAAAATCCTCAACAATCTCGCTCTTCAAAACCCTACCCTTCCTCGTCAATTTTTCCACATTCTCACTCTCTGTGCTTTCCTTCAAAATCCTACCCTTCCTCGGCAATTTTTCCACATTCTTACCCTCTGTGCTTTCCTTCAAATCACGACCATGGCGCCGGGGATTCCGCCGGGGCTTGCAAGGCTGGTCATGCTCGCGAAACTCAACGAGGATGGAGGTAAACTCGCCGAGCTTAATAATGTCACCGTTGCAGAGCTCGAAGGGAGTGTCAGGAGGTACAGCGGCGGAGTTGAGGATTGTTCCATTTGAGGATCCGAGATCTTGGAGGAGCCATTTTCCTGATTCGGACCCAATCTGGATATGCTTGCAGGAGATGCCGGCATCCTTTATGGTAAGGTTGTTCCCCTTGACGACCCGCCCGATTCGTACCGTGGATCCGGATTTATACTCTAACGCTTCACCTTCACGTGGCCCCTGCACGATTACTAGCTTCAGCAGTGGCGACTGCGAATCCATTGTGGCTGTTAGAGAGGATGGAAGGAAGGAAGGAGGAATAACGGTAGTTTTGCGAGCAGCAAAAACAGAGAAGAGCTGAGAGCATAAAACCGCCAGTTTAAAGTGTGTTTTTCTCTTTTTGAAAAATTCAATTACAAATATGACATTTATTATAATTTACTCTCGAATATTTTTTGTTACAAGTTTTTAATATTTTTTATTTATTTTAAAAGTAAATATCTCCATCATTTAACCCAAAAAAAAAAAGTGATAAAATAATTAAATTATGTATGAAAATTTTAGTTTGAATATGCTGAATTTTAGGCTGTTGAGTACTTTTCTAATGTTCCTAACCCATTTCCCTTTTCTTTTTCTTCATCCATACCCTTGTCTTTCTTTTTCTCTTATTTTTCATTTTTTCCCATATTTATTTTCTTTTCATTCACACCCCTAAATGGTTCTCTTCTTTTTTATTTCATTTTATTTTTATTTTTTTCTTTGTTTTTTGCTTTTGTGACCAAAACATTTAACAAAATTAACATAAAAGATCATATATAAATTAGAATTTAAAATATTAACGAGTGAACCCTCGGCCAAATGAAATAATCATCGGGTTGTTTGCTTTTGATAATATTAAGCTAGGTTTAAATTAAGACTTTGCCTTCATTATTTATGACTGTATGTACCTTTTCTTATATTATTTATCTTTTTTTTTTACTTATGAGCTTGTGTATATATCAATATAAAAATTATAGTTTGGATCAAATTTATAGCAATCATGCACATGTATATATGTTGTAGTTTCGTATTACAAGTATATTTCTTTCTTAACAAATAGTTTCAAGGAGAATAGTGATTTGTTAGGATGATTGTGCTATAGATATGAAGATTGAGCCATAGTTTTAAGGAGAATAAAAAAAAAAAATTCTAGAGCCGGTCTAAAGGTTAAACCAAATGAAAAAATGATGGACCAAACTAAATTCAGTTAAAAGGTTGATCCGAACTAATCCTCTAATTTTATTATGAACTGGTTCAATTCACACTCCTTTCAGTTGTCTAACCTGTCCAAAGTTAAATGACCATTTAGTAAAATTACTAAGTATAAGGTGTTTGTGAAAAATTCACAAAGAAAGAAGTGGTCTGAAATTCAGGTTGAGGTAAAAAAATTTGTTTTAAAAAGTGATCGTTTTCTTTAAAACCAATTATCTTACTTCTTCAAAAGTAATCAAACTTTCAAAATTGATGTGTATATATATATATATATGTAAAGTCTCACAAAATGTCTAAGTATTCAACAATGATTGAACAATAGAACTTTCAAATAGGGATGAGTTTTTGTGTGTGAACATCATTGGGAATAAGGATGTTATCATGAGGAGGGTACTATCAAGCCCTAACTAGTAGTACTTAGAATTTGTTTCAATTAATTAGTTATATATTAGTTCATTTTTTTTTTATAAAAGTTGTTGATTGAATGAATTTTGTAATTGAAAAAATAAGAATGAAATTTAAAATTTCTCCCTACAACAATTCCTCTTTTCTCTTCAATTTTTTCTACTCTTTATTTCTCCTAAATCCTAATTCTTTTCTCATCTCCATATATATGTTGGGGTTTTGGGTTCTCTCCTATTAAAAAAAATCCAAATCATTTTTTAGCCCACTTATTTTTAGCTCATTAAGGTTATTAGTTTTTTTTTTGTATACCACTTTAACCCTAATGAATAATATAAAAATAAATTTTCAGCCACCAAAAAGTTAGAGAACAAAAAAAGAAAATTTTTGTTGAAAAAATTACATCTAGCGTGTTTTGTTTCTTTCTACGATCAGTGGAAATCGATTTTGAACAGTTGAATTTTCGATACTTTTAGTTTGAAGTTATTGTTCATGTTTTTCTTTCTTATACCAATTAATTTGACTTTCTCCGATGATCGAATGGTCATTTGTGGTCTAATGATACAGAAATTTGGTGAGCATGTTTGGGATAAGTTATTGTTTAATCTGAACGATGAAGATCAAATTTGAACAATTAAAACGCGTCCGTTTCGCATGAACAGTAGCTATTTTGGTTATATTTATCCATTCTCTTGTTTATCTCTTGTTGTTTGGTTGATTAGTTGTTGAGTATTTATTTGAGGATTATAGTAGTTGCTTATTGTTATTGTAAACATTAGTTTTTATAGTATAGCTCTTTTTTACTTGGATCAGGAAAGATCTCGTAGTTTTTATCATTTATATTGAAGGAGTTTGTCATGTTAAAAATTTAAAAATAGTCTTTGAACATCTTGGAACAGATTTTATCATATTTATTTTAGTTAAATTTTTACTTAGTTTTCATTAATCATAGATTCATTCAAGTATTTCTTTACAATATATTCCTTTTATTTTCATAACATTTCTTTTTCTTCTTCCTCTGTTTCTTCCAAATCAGAACAAGATACTAACAAAAAAGCTAGCACATAACTCTTTAATTGTTGTGAGTATCAATGATTTAACATATCATTAAATAGAGTGTATCTTATAAAATTATTAAATTTGTGTGATATTAACTATCTAAAATAACTATGTTACCATATGCACTCAAGTTTAATCAATTAAATCAGTTAAGATTGTTTAACAAGATAAAGAAATGAACAAAAAAAGAACATCATTTTTACAGTATTATGAATACGTATTACATTAT